TAAGGACTAAGAATATATTAATTACTGCATCAAAGTGACCAACATATAGGAGTAGTACTGTAGTAGGATCCATTTTTAAGAAATACTTCCTCCGTTTATTTTTAGTTGACACATTTCTTTAGTCACGTTTGTCAATGCACAAATTCAATCATTAATATCTTAATTACCGATAAGTAACGATTATAAAAAGTTGATATTTTGAAATATACATTGTGACGAATCTAATAAGATCCCAATTGATTATATTTTTCTTCACATTTATATCATTTAACATGGTCAAAGGGAGGTGTATAAATAGTGCTAAAGTCAAAACGTGTCAACTAATAAAAAACAGAGAGACAAAGAAAAAAAAATGTAGCAGTAAGACACTAATAAGACATAATAGTTGAGCGCCCACATGTTCTATCTCTCCTCCAATTCCAAGTAGCCGCCCACCCAGCCCATAAGTAAATGTTCATATTAGATGACAAGCATTTCAAAAAATTTGATGTACAGTACTCCATACACTTTATTTGACTAACTCATAAGAGTACTTGATTTGTAATAATTGCAACAGTAGAGAAGGGCAGAGGCACAAAAGTTGGTAAAGGCTATACATACAACCTTACTTTGTCATGTTTTTATTTATTTGCTATAATAATGGGCCCATGTTCCATTAGAATTCAACTTATATTTTACTCCTAATTTTCTTTCTTTTTTTTTATGATGTCAAATTTCTAGTGATGTTGTATGTAGGGACAACATACAATGATTGTATGAGTACTACCTCGGTACATATTAGTTGCAACTTTCAGCCCCGGCACGGATTTTAAGACAAAATTTCATCTATCTATAAACCTATACTAAAAGCGAAACCTGGAATGACACTTGTCATTTCCTGGTTAAAAAATTTCCCGCCTTTTTTTCTTACCTTTTTTTTTTTGCGATATTTTAATGACATTCATTTTATAACCTACAATAATAGTTATTTCCATTTAAACAACATATTTAATCCCATTATACTCAATTTTTTGTACATATATTTTATATACTAGGAAACTTTTAGTTACATAAATACTAAGATAGATTAAAAATAAGGTGTTGTAATATATTATTTTCCAATATCAATATCAATTTTTTTTCTCCAACTTTCATCATTTGACAATAAAATTTATTTTAATTAAAAATATATCATTTGGTAGCATACTTTATATAGTAAATCTTAAAATTATATAACGTTTATAAGAACAAAATCTTTCTATTATAGTATCATAACATATATTGGAAAATTTAATCTAATTACTCTAATATTTATATGATTATTAAAAATAAAATAAAATAAAATAAAATAAACTCCTACTAATCACTAAAAATATATTTAAAAAATTAATTACGAAATATTAATTATTCTAAAGTAAAATGAAATCAAATAAATTTTCATATTTCTGTGAAAATGTGTTATTAAATTAAGGATAGATTTATATTAATTCGCATATGGGTACAAATCTAAGCTAATACTTTTATTTTATTATATAAAACCTTATAGCTTCTAAATAAGGGCGGGTGATGAAAATCGATCCCAAGATCACTTGGGACCGGAAGGGGAGCACTAAGTACTTGAACTATCCCTCACTCTCTTCTAAATTTCTATTATTATATTTTTTTTTTATACAATCCAATTCAATAACCTTTACGTATTTCAGTTTTTGGCATTGGTATAAACTAAAATTTAAGTTATTTTGTTACAAATAATTTTTTTAGATAAATTAATGTTGAATTTACACCATTATTTGTAATTTATTTATTGTAAAATTTAATTATCATGCACGGGACTTAACCTAGTAATGGTATATTAATAAATTAAAGAATAGATCATTAAGGTAGGAGAGAGAAAATGAAGGTAATTAATCAATGAGTAACCACCACCAACAGCACCAAGCCCACCACCGTAGCTGAATACCAGCCACCCTTAAACCACCCACCTCACACCGTGAAATCACCCCATCTCAACTTGAACCACCGTGAAATCACCCCATCTCAACTTGAACCACCGTGAAATCACCCCATCTCAACTTGAACCACCGTGAAATCACCCCATCTCAACTTGAACCACCGTGAAATCACCCCGTCTCTACCCGAACCACCCTGAAACCAGCCACACACACCCGAACAACCATAAAACCACTCCCTCTCCAACTGAAAGACCAGAAAACCACCTTCTCCAAGCCCAAACCTCCCTAAAACTAAACCCTCTCAACTTAAACCACCTTGAATACGCACCCTCTCAGCCAAAACCAACCTAGAACAACCACCGTCACTCACCCCCAAAGATTGTGTCTACTAGTGCCTTAAAATTCACCATATTTAATCGTAGATTTGAGGGTTTGGAGAGGAGATCGTCGGTTTTTGAAGGAATAGGTGGGTTTTGTAAGTTATTTCGTGGGTTTCGTGGGTTTTTTCAAGAAATTCGTGGGGGTTCGTTGGTTTATTCAGCAAATTCGTTGGGTTTTTTCAAGCAAATTCGTGGGTTACATCACAGAGGAAGTGTGACGATTTGTTGGGTTAGATCAAGGAAGGAGAGAGAAATTCATGGAGGAAGAAGATGAACCAAGATGAACCCAGATGAACAAGGGTTTTGAAATTTCCCCAAATCTGAAAAAATAGCAATGAATTGGTTAGGTTCACTGAATGAGGTTGGTTGATGAGTAAATTTTGTGGGGATCATTTAATTAATGATGTTGGATAAAGGGTTTAATGTAATCAGATTATATTATGTAATTGATATAATGAATTTTTAAGTATAGGGTAAAGTAGTAATTTTATAGGAAAAAATTTACCAAAAAAAGAAAGAAATAAAAAGTTGCAACAAATGTGTACCACTCCTAAATAGCAAAAGTTGCAATTAATATATAACGGAGGAAGTAGGATAATTATAAGGTGGGAATCAAAGGGAGAATATTATTAACTTTTTTTCACTATTTTTATACTTCCTCCGTTATATATTATGTGCAACAATTTCCAAAAACGGAAGTTACACATAATGTGCAACAAAGTAAATATTTTCATCTATGGTAAATTTTTTTGTGTAAAAGGACCAATCTACCCTTACTTAATTTCAATAACACACCTTAACTGAATAAGATTATATGTTATTAACATATTAACCTACATTAATTCATTCATGATTTACCCTAATCCCAATCTCTCTCCTCCCTCACAACCACATCCACCACCATCATTACCTCCCTCTTAGCGGTCACCGCCGCCAGGCCGCCACCACTATATTTCTCATAACCACGACCCAACCCAAAATTCCCTACACAATCGGCCACCTCCAACACCGAATCCACCTAAGCACCATCTCCGACCGAAATTTCTAGAAATCCTCCAACCACCACGAAGGCACAAACCTTGTTTTAGCTTCGATCTCTTTCTTCTTTTCGCTCTCACAACCATCGTCGATCGAGTCATCGACCTCCTTTTCCCTTGTCAAAGTCGCCGCTGACTCCTTTTTCCCTTGTTATAGTCGCCGATTCTCCTCATAATCAAACCCTAAAATTGATTTGGGTATGTGGTGGTTGTGAGCTGGGCGAGGTTAGTTGGTTTTGGTGGTTATGGAGGGGTTTCAGATCTTGGTTGTGGTGATTGGATTACGGTTGCGAAGTTGGTTAGTTCGATTTGGAGGGGTGAGTTTTGGGTAATTGGGTTATGGTTGTGGTGTTGGTTTGATTTGGCTGATGGGGTTTCGGGTCATGGTGGTGGTGAGAAGGTGGTTACGAGCTAGGGTGGTGGTGGTGGTGGTTGGGTCAAAGAGAGGGTGGATGTGGGTGGTGGTGGATGTTGTTGCTGGTGGGCGGTGTCGGTGAGAGGCCGTGGCAGGTGGTAGTTGATTAATTTTCCCCTTTTCTCTCTCCTACCCTTAATCTCAAACCCTTCACTTTGTTAATCAACATTAACAAATTATGTCTTGGGAAATGTGCAACAAGGTTTAACATAACAAAATTATGTCTTGGGAAATGTGCAACAAGGTTTAATATACTTCATGAAATGTGCAAGTTGGTTAGTTCGAAAAATTATGTTAAACCAAAAAAAAAAAAAATGCAGTAAAATTAAAGTGACCATTGATCACATAACAAAGGAGAGTTTGATCAAACCTTGGTATTATAAGGGCCTGTTTGGTGGATTTCCTAGTATAAGATGAATTTCAACACCAGTCACTCTGAATTTAGCACCAAAATTTGAAACAAAAGTATATGAGCCAAACACTGAACAATTTCTTTTTTATTTTGATGGAAGAAACAAAGAAGAATTAATAAAGGAGAAAATGGGAGTAGTTTTTGGGAAATTGGAAGGAAATTTCGTTGATTTAATTTGGAATGTAAAAAAATGACAAACTACAACTAGTACAATAATGTACATATACTATCGATGAGAGAGAAAACAGTGTTAGTCGTCAGTGACAAATAAGCATTGACTTATGACTATGAAAACAAGTCAAGCATATATATTTTTTTTTTATTTTGAGTGGTTTGTTGAAAAGTCAACTTTTTTCGCAAAAGACCAAGTCAGATAATGTTGAGTAGCTCCAAATTTCTACCAACCAAACAAGAATTTTTTTTATACAGAGTACGTAGAATGTAATTAATGGTGACAATTTAACAGAAAACAATAATGCGAGTTAAATATTGCATAACGATTAAATTCATGATTAGATAAATTGTCGTATTTTTATTCCTTTAATGTTTACAAAGAAGAACTCTACTAGACCGGAATCTCTAATAGGAAATGTGCGGAGGTTGGAATCATCAACCTCAAGAACCACAGGGGATAGGAATCGAATCAATGACCTCAAGTCGTAAGATGAATACCTTGGAATTGTGAACAAGGAGTATAATATTCCAAAAGATAGGGAAGAATCATGGTCTTCATCTTGCTTAAGATGAGATTGGGAAAACAATTGAAAAAGGGTACCTGTTTCTAAGGTTCTCATCAAGACTGAATTTAAACCAGTACACAAAGCATGAACACAACAGAAGAGAATGGATCAAGACTGGTATTTAACATAACATATACAAGATGAGTTTTCAAAGTATAGTCATTGGCATACAGTGACACAACAGAGAACAAATGAACAATCATCATTAAGTTCTTGTTAACATCTGACAACAGGCAATGGGATCCTACATCCTACAGGAAGCAATCTGATCATCTCCAAAATGCCTCAGATGGAAATAAGTGCCGTTCTTTTCCATCTTTGGATTATTATTCCTGGTCCAAAGGCACAGCTCTCTAAAAGCGAAGGGACAGATCAGAACTTAACTCAAGGCTTCTCCTCGTCGGATTGAGGACCTGGTCCAGGAACTGAATCTACAAAGAACTCCTCTACTGAATCATAAAAAATAAAAAGAAGTTATTTTTAAGTAAATAATTGTTTTCCTCTCAATATAAGCATTAGCATTAGTGGAAAAAAAAAAGAAGAAAAGAAGAGAGAGGGGGGGGGGGGGGGGAGATTCGATACCTATATCTTCATTATCTGGAGAATCAAGTAAGATATCAGAATCCGAAGGCAGAAAAGGCGAGCCAGGATAATTTCCCAATGGTCCAAGATCTACAGAATTTCAAAGAGAATGTAACCAACAAGCATACCGGAAAGGAAGCATGTTAACATATATTTGGAAGTTAAATGAACAATTGGCCACTGACCAGTGTACACAGTTTACAACAACCAAGTATCTTTTCAGATGTATAACAATGAATCACAGTATATTCGCAATAACCATTAAACTCACTGAAGTATTATGTAAAATTAAAAATAAAAAAATAATAAAAAAAAAAGAGGGCAGATGATAATAACCTCCCAAGTTCGATAAATCTGCTGTTAGATCAGAAAGGCTGAAATTCCAGGGAATTTGAGCCAAAGAACGAAGGGAATCTTTGGAATTTCCAGCACCTCCATCAGATGGCAGCTGCAATCCAATTGAACTTCCCACGTCAGACTGAAATGCTGTATCAAGTGCTGAAGTATCAACTCCCATTCCAGGCAACTCAGAAGCAGTGAATGGAAAATGCCCGCTGGATGCCACTGAAGTTGGACTGATGGGCATGTCCGACATGGACGACATGCCACTACTGGGCGGAATCACTGGTGCAGCTTCAGCTGAGGTACTTTCCATCACCATACTAGGGGGTAAATAACAATGGTAAGCAAAACCTCACACCAATTATAATAAAGAAAAAAGAGGGTACAAAAATGAATTCTTCATACTCCCCCACCAGTAAGAAGGAAATTAAATAACAGCAACAAAAGAACTAAATACGTAGTACGAGTATATATTTAATTAATCTAGTTCTACAAAATGCTTGATGCAAGATTGTGTAGCTTTCTAGTTTACTTTCAAAATTGGATTTAAAACTTGCTACACCCAAAATTAGTACTCTGCTGGAAATTGAAATTTCAACTATAAAACAAAGATTTTCACCAGATTTTGGGCATAATTTAACAGTCTAGCAAAGTTGCACATAGTAACTGAGACTAATGAGAATTAAAGCCAGTGTGCTGAAGTATTGGTAAGATACCAAAATAGTAATTATTGAAGAGACACTCACTCATTCCCAGAATTCATTCTCATGGGTTGAAAATTACTGGGTGCAGGGACTCCATTGACCACATGGCAGTTGGATAGTCCATGGTTCATAGAATCAAGATGAGGCTGACCAGGGGCCGGAATCGGAGGTGGTTGTAGGACAGGGTAACCCATAGGCATGTTGTTAACTGCAGTGCAGATGATTGAAGTTAATAATCCAAAATATGACAGAGAATTTAAAAATTAAAATAAATAAATAAAGTCTAAAAAATTAATAATACCCCCATCCTTGAATAATTGTCCAAATATTCTTATTTAGGATGTCTTATAACAATTAACTTTCTATACTCGTAAAATCAAGCACATAACTGATGAGAAAATGCGATTGGTTGAAAGGCAAATTAATATTGGGAAGCTGTAAAGTAATTGATTTATTGATATTCCCTTCATATTATTGCTTCTCAAGTATGACAAGTGATTAAAATTATTGCTGTAAAAAGCACAAAGAAAATTCCCATACAAAAACTATCCTGAAGCTTCACCCACACTGAGACTACCACCACGTAGAGCCTCATTTCAGTACTTATCTACGTTTTCTATAGCCTAAGGAGAAATAACTTCTGTACCAATCTAGTCTGGATATGAATAAGGGTGCATTCATCAAGAATTCTGCATTTCTGCTACTAAGTTATTGATGTCAAAAGGAAGAAACCACATATCACATAAACATATTCAGAAACATTAAACATCAAGAGGACCCAGGAAGTCAAGATATGAAGCTCCTTAACAGCAAGGAATCACAGAGACACAAACTTAATACCACATTAGATTTTAAGTCTTAGACTACGAGGGTATAAGAAAGAGGAGAAACAGGTCTCACTTCTATGAGTAGATATTGGCATCATTTAGTAGAAATTTGTATCTTGTCCCAAAAAGAAAACATCCTGACAGCGTGCATTGGGACAGCCACACAGCAATTACAATTTTTTTAAATAAAACAAAGCAATCGGATTGCACATAACTTTTGGAGGTACAGAATAATTACCAGGCATAGGATGAATTCCATTTTGGATAGGAGCCAATGGAACTTTTGGAGGTACAGCATATTTCATCAGATGATACTGATGCTCGAGAAGATGATTGAACAAAACAATCTGCTTCTTCAATTTAAGCCTTATGTAATAAGCCCTGAAAAAATCAGCATTTTCTTCTTCCAGCTTCTGCCATACTACTCAAATGAGATGGAACAAAAAAATTGATCAGAACTACAATATAAAAAGAGCCTATATTCCATAACCAAACCAAAAAGAATCTCCCAGAAAAAAAATTGTAGCTACCATGATGAACTTCACACTAAGCAATAGGAGGGGGAAGAGATAGGCAGATAAGCTAAAAATTTGTGCGTTAATTTTTCTCAGTAAAAATTAGGGAGCTTAACATAAGGCTGTTGGTCTCAATCAGCATTACCCGCACATTTCTTGACAGAAAAAGTATCAATAATCGTCATGAATGAATCATCAAATATAACATCCAGAAGGAAAAAAAAAAAAAAAAAACATCATATCTATCACCATTTTTTCGTGCCCATGAGTCAAGTACAATTGGCCAGGTAATTAGCAATCATATTTTACTATGGATGAATTTCTTTTCACGATGCACATTTAGTACATCCAAAATTTGCAATAGCTTGCAGATCCTACCTAAGGTAGTAAATCCAGGATCAATCCTTGCACGATTTAAGAGGGTCTTAACCACCTCATCTCTATTCATATACAGTTGTAAGCATCGTTCAATTAAATTTTGTACCTGCATTGAATAATATGCTTACATATGCTAGTTAAGCAAGGTATAAAATCAAAAGTACAGGAAATTAGAAGTTAACAAAACCAGATTGCCTCACAAGCTCAATATCTTCTCGAGAGACTTTGCGCCCATCGTTACTTGAAACAGCAGCTGAGCCTGAGTCAGGGGCTGGAGCTTCTTGATTGTTGTTATTCTGTTGCTCACTTTGGGAATCAAGTGAAGCTTGGTTGGTCGACTGTCTTTCAGGAGTATTTTGAGAATCCTGCATGGATTCATAAGCCATATTAAAAGAAGTACATAAAAGGGACATATGACTACTAATGCTAAGATTGCTAAAAGTCCTCACTAAAGTCTACATGAAAAATAAAAATAAAAAAGGATGCCTAATGTGCAAATAGTGCATGCCATATAAGCACAAATTTAAACATGATCCCTGAACATTCACATGAAGACGTAAAAAACAAAGGAGTAACGTCGTTACATGGATAGAGCCTAAAAAGCTTCTTCGCCAGCCAATTTATGGTTGAGAATAGAGATAAGATCATACAATCTAGATATTAACTTTAATCAGTAGTATTATTGAATAATAACAAAGGGAAAACATATATTAACAGGCATTTTATTGGCGGAATAAAAGGCAAGAATGTCTTCGACACTTGTCATTGCCCACCCATTTCTGTTTCTTCCAAACACCTAACAAGTAACATGAAGAAAAAAGATTCTCTGATTCTACAATCTACACATTAACTCATTAAGGCTAGGCTGGCTAGTCGAAGCTCTTTAAGGATAATTAAACACAACATGGTACTCAAAAGCTATCTACAAATCAATACCCAGTTAAGTGCACGACAACGACACATGGTCGCAAGAAGCAAAGCCACAAAGGTATAAAAAGTTTGGTGATGGTGGGCTCTGATGCTAAACATAAAACATTAACGATAGTGTGTTTCCAAACAAACAGTATAAAGTCCAGCTGATATACGTCAATGCACAGATAAGGGAGAGGAAGGATAAAGGTAGTCAAGCACATTACTTGAAGACCAGTGAAGAGCACATGAATCATGTTTTCTGGTGGTGCCAGGCGTAGCACCACAACTAATGTGTACTGATCAAAAAACCATTTAAATGTTTTCAACACCATTCTAAAGGGAATATCATATAGAACAAGCAGTAAGTTAAGATAAACGCACCGGTGAGGTCTTCATTTCACTAAAATAGATACAGCCACATACTGCTATGCTAATTGGACAAAGCAAGCACTCTTAATATCCAATTGAAGCAATATCAGAAACACAGCAGCTGGACAGAAAAAAAAAATGGTGATGAGTTTTGAGTTAAACTCGTTAGTTACAGGTGTATCGATAATAGAATTACTTGTAGCATTTAGGAAATACAAAAGGAAACTTACAATTAAACATGCATGCATATATATACGTATATGTAACGAGTGGAAAATTGGAAATACTGGTATAATGTCAACATATCAATTGTATCGGTCTTAAGTATTAAAATTACTTCATATATCACAGACCATGTTTTAAGTATAAAAATATCCAATTCTCCATAGGATATTAACATGCCATACTACACTACTCCCTAATAGGTCTCATTTGACTTTTTCGAAAAAATCTTGTTTACTTTCACCATTGATTTTATCACTATATAATTAAGCAATTATCTTCTGATAATGCAATACCTTATAAGAGTAATCCCCTTGTAAAATTTTCATAACTTAGGTTTATCCACAAAAGTCTTTGCCAATTAGTTTGATAGACTTTACCTCCCCATCATTAGTTAACCCTAACTAACAAAAATCTCAATCCTTCAATCAGTCTAAAGAGTCATACATAAATCTGAATCTCTATTAAAACATTACACAAATAACCCGAAAAGACGATTCAATTCTAAGTACCCAATTAGTCTTAGACTCTTTGTTAATTATAGCATATATCCAAATATCTACTGAACTAAAAATATCCCAAGTCCACAATAGAACAACTCATCACCAAATCCACCCCATCTAAACACACTGTTATTAATGCAGATCAATGTAAACATTCAAATATATTCAGTCTAATCAAATTGCATTGAAATGTAAAAATAAAAAAATAAAAAAATAAAAAAAAAAAAAAGGTACCCTTTTCCAAAAAAAAAAATTAAATAAATCCACCTTGCAAAAATTAACACTCAATTCAGCAAAATTGAACAATCGAACAAATTCATAGCGCAACGAAGCAAATTTAAGCAAAGATCTAGCAATTAATTTACCTCAATTAAGGCATAAATTATCTGCAACCTTCAAAAAAATGGCAAGAAAATGTGAAATATTATAATAATCGGAGAACTTGAAACTAAAATAGCTAAGAAATTTCGACGAATTAAATATTTCAGTGATAATTAATAAAATTATTATTATTAAACTCTAATAAGGGAAAGAATATCATCGAGATGGAAGAATGGGTTTCCTAAAATGGTAATCTAGATTACAGAAAATCGGATTTCAAAATTATTTACTGTAATAACAATTTTAGGAGGAAGAAAATGAAATTCGAAAGAATAAATATTGTCGAAATAAAATAGAAGATATTAGGAAAAATTAGGTGAGAAATTTCGAAGTTTTTGGGAAACTGGTTTTGGGGGTTTGACGCTGCAGATTGAACAGTACTGTTACAGCAGAGGAGAGAGAGAAAAATGGAGGAGTGGGAATGATAGTGAGATGTTGAAAGCAGTGATACACACACGCCAGACAAATTAAAATTACGAGTAAAATAACGAGTTGTTTGATTCGGGTTAGAACAGGTTTAGCTCTAAGTCTTAAAATTTTGAATGTGATATCATTTTTTTTTTTTTTCTTTTCTTTGTCCCATTGAAAATGATATTATCTATAATAATATATAAGTGAAAGAGGGTTTTAGGTGATAAATTTTACTTTCTCAAAATACCCCTTTCATCTTTTATAATTTTCAAAAGAAAACTACCATAATTTTAAAAATATAACTATCATTTAAAAAAAAAATTCAAAACTACCACCCTTTAATTTATTTTATTTTTAATTTATTTTTTTTATTTTTAGGGAAATCATATTTTGCATGGACATTATAATGTACTCATATCTTACCTTTTAACCTTTATGATTTCATCAATTTATAAACTCTCTAATATTTTTTTTTTTTTATTAGAATAAGGTAGATAATATTTTAGGGAAAAAAAAAAAAAGAATCGAGCCATGCATATTAATTTCTTATGTTGCACACGCAATTTGCGTGTGTCTCACATCTTGTCTAATTAATATATGACTTATTAAAATTAGCTAGTATAACGAAATTAAATTTCTTGTCTCCTCCTTCCTCTCTTCAAAACCCTAGCCTCCATTGTTGAAATTTAAAGGGGCTTCAATCGGTTTTAACCGGTGGAAAGTCTCAATTCTAGTTTCTTTAAAGTTTTTTTTAGGTTTTATAATAATGCTTCCTCCTTTTGGGAGGAACTTTTCTCCTTTGAAAGAAAGGGTTTCCGATCTCCTACGAAATACAAGGGTTTTTCGACCTCTTTCGAAAGACAAGGTTTATCTCCTCTTGTCGGGGGAGAAATTTTCTTAGTTTTGAATCCATGATATTAGATTTAATGGATTGTCATGAAATTCTTTGTTGGTGAAAAAGTTATCCAGTTTTCAAATGTGGACAGGAAAAACATTCTCACGGGTACAAAGGATCGTTAGATTATCTCTCTTGTATTTTCTAGCGATATAAGCGGGAAATACTCCACAGTGCAAGATCTACTCGACGATCGTAATTTTTATGAAGGAAAATCTTATTTGATTCAATATCTTATGTATTTGTTAGCGTCGAATCTATATTGTAGATGTCATGACTTTTAATTAATGAACTATTTTTGCTATTAAAAAAAGGAAAATGTTATACATAACCCTTAGGGCTACATATAAGCATTAAATTTACACTTGAAAATCGTAAAAAGTTAAGAAATCATCAAAATATAAACACTAATAACACTGATTTACGCGTGTTTTTGTCATGAATTCCTTAAAAAAAATATGTATGACTTGTTAAAACTCACTAAGACTTATTCAAATTTATCACTTAGCCCTAAGACTCAAATTATAGGTAAATTTTAAACTGAATTTGATACTTACTTGAGATTTAAGAAGAAAAATAAGGGAAGTTTTAAACACAAGTATTAAGACTTGAGGTGAACTCAAGATGATGTCACCTCAAGTCTTAAACTTGCTATAAAGTAAATAAAGGGAAAGGAAATGAACATACTTCATTCCCTTTTGTTGTTGTTTGTCACTTTTTATCATTTCTTTTATCCATTTTTATTTTTGATTTCACCATAATTTCTTCCACATTAATTCCCCACCCTCATTTCCTTTCCTTAGTCACCCCTCCACCACCACATCCACGCTTGCCATCATCCTTTTACCTTACCCCCACCACCCAACTGTCACCCATCCACCCCTCCCCCGCCGCCCAAATATTTGAAAACGCTACAAAATTAAACCCTAAGTACCAAACTTTAACAAAATTCACAATTAGTTTCGAGCATTTAATAAAACTAAACCATTATATGAGTATAAATTATTTATAATTTAGATAACAAAGGCACAATAATAAATAGGAAAAATTAACAAAAATAATCCAAACTATTGACCATCTTCTCATTTTAATCCTAACTAAAGGGGAGTAAGCCGAGCAACTCTTAATTGTTGCACGTCTTGGAGACAATTTTGCGAGCCTCATCGCAGCACCAGTACAATTTGAAAGTACACGTTGGCCTTTTTGGACATTTTTGGTACATCTTTACAAACGTTGGCAGATTCTCTTTTATATCTTTAATTGTGGGATTAATTACGGGAAAGCTCTCCACTTCAAAATCTACAATGTAATGCCACCAAAATTTGTTGCAGAATTCCCCACAACTTTCATTTCGGGGCTTCTTAGCTAATTTTTTACAAAAGTCCTTCAAAATAAGATAATACATATTAATCAGCTTTCTGTAAAATCAAGTGCAATGTACATTTCAAGTTGTCAAGTAAATACATTTCAGATTACCTTCAAGAATCCATCACATGAACAAGCAAATGGCAAATGTTAATGTGGTGGGACAAGTGCTCCAAATCAACCCATCAAATTCAAATTAAAATCACATAATATATAAATAAATAAATAATTTTTGGGCTAAAACCAAGGTTCAAATGAATTGTGCGTCCAACTTGGGCCATCTGTTTAATTAGTCCTCTTAAGTATTGAAATAGGTGGTTTTTAGAGTAACACGATAATGTATAACCTTTAAAGCAGCTGATGTGGTAAACAAAGGAAGCGCTGGGATTGCATACCCAATATAGAGAAATTGTCTTAAGTTGGGGCAATTGAGGTAAACCTCCTTTAATCCATTAACTTCAAGCTTTAAAAACTCTAGATTAGGACAATCGAAACTCACAACGAGTATTGAAATTGCATTTGAAACTCTCAAGACCATCCTTATCAATGGAAATAATATTGAGATTGCCAAGACAATTAAGGATAGAAACTTTCTTTAGCGTAGGAAATACAGAAAGCTCAAGAGATTCATTCCAAAATTAATTACAAATGTTGCAGAGAAGAAATGTTGCTCCTGAACCTGAAATGGTTGCCAAATTTGCATCCATGTACATAGAGGAAACGCAATCCATTTAAAGCCAAAACAGACAAGGGAATACCTAATAGATCCTTTCGTCCTACTATAGTCATTAGTTTGTACAAATATGCACAGCTCCTCGACCTTACTTAATTTACAGACCAAATCCATCAGTTTATCCACGCGGGAGAAGCTCTTGGAATCTTCAATTGCCACATTCAATGACAATCTTCGCAGAGCTAATTTATGATGTAACACTTTTGACAAGTGATACTTGACAAAACTCATGAATTCCTCCCTTATTTCACGAATATTAGGTTTGTAATCGTGCCTGTTGTTTCCAGCAGCTATTAGACATTTCAACCCGAATAAATTATGATCTAAATGTAGAATAGGATACGAATTGGCAAAACTTTTCCAGGTTTTGGACAATATACAAGTTCGAGCTGCATCTTTCGAGGAAAGATTATCAAGTATCTCATGGATGATGTGTTCCGGCAACCATGAGATACGGTTTGTTTCGGATGAAAACAATGGGGCCTTGCCGAAGGCCCGCTGAAGTGGCTGAAGACTGGTCCGGTCCAATTGATGTTGGGCCGAAGGTTTCCTGCACAACTAAAACACGTAAACTGGCCTCGGGGGTGGATCCGAGGAAGACCCCTCCAATGCCGAAGTCAAACAGTGTTTTGAGAGAGAAAGTTATGCAAGAGATTTAATGCTTGAGGCTTTTGTATGTTTTTTACAAATGAATGAATTGAAGGCTTTTATACCTTTGCTCATGATGAGAGGAGAGTAATTGGGCCTTTAAATAGTCATGGGCTGACCATGGCAATTCGGACCAAAGGACTCTTGGTTGACTTGGCTTGATTGGAGGCTCGGGCCTTGACCTTGGAATATGGAGTCATTTAGTGATCAGGCCCAATAAGATAATTGGACCCAAATACATGACTATGCCCAATTAGATAAATTGGACCCAAACAACTTGCCCCCCATACCCGATTTGGAAGGATGACGGGTCGGGTTTGAATCCAATAAGAAATGGAGGGAAGTAAATGATTTAATTAAATCAAAAGATTTAAATTTTTAAACAGTTATTAATTAAATAACTGTAATTTGGATAATTAACAGGAAGTGGAGTGGATAGTGGGCGGTTAATCAAGAGAGAGAGAGAGTGTTTAACGGTTAATTAAGGAGGCATTTAAGAGAAATTTGAACTTTTCGACCTTTGGGATTCTCCTTCCTGGAATTATAAGGCCTGATTCGCATTTCAACCTCATTTCTTCACCAACTTACACTCAAATTCTCGCGCAAACCCATCTTCGCTCCGAATTTCCAGCGTACCCTTCTCAAATCTGAGTTTGATACTCAAATCCATTGCTTCCACTGGTTTGACCGGCGTATTCCGGCCAATTTGAAGGTAATTTTCCTCGAGCTTTTTCGATTTTCTTACCTTTTTTAGGGAAATTCTTCTTCTCCCTTCTTTCCTTCTCTGAATTTGATTATGGCTCGAGAAAGGAGGCGTCAGTCGGGTCGACGGGGTCAGGTTGGGGATCCCCGTGACCGCGCCGACGTCTGGAACAGGGAACGAGCCGGTGAAGACCCGGAAAGGGGGATTCTGGCAGTTCCTTTAAACGCCGCGCCGCCTTAGCAGGACGCCGAGGCCGGCGAGGCGGAGCAACCTGAGCAGAGAGAACAGGCTGGGCAGGTTGAGGATTTGCCCCCTGTGCTCTGGGACCTGCTTCCTGGGCATGCTGAATGGCAGGACGCCGAGGCCCAGGACGCCATGGTGAGAAATACCCCATACTCATGGTGGGTTCGGCACGCCGAAACCTACCGGTTTGCCGAGCATATTGATTTTCACTATGGCATTTTTGAAGAGGATGGGCATTGGTGCCGAATGCCCTCGCCGACTGATAGGGTTCACCGTCCCCCTCCTGGGTATATAGGGGTGTACCCTCGGCAATTGCAATACGGGCTTCGGTTTCCTTTGGATCCCTTCGTCAGGGACATTTTAATAAAGTACAGGATCTCCCTGTGCCAATTAACACTCGTTAGCATTCGGCGGGTGATAACTTATCTCTGGGTGTGTCGGTTTTTTGCTGTTGAACCGAATTTGCACTGCTTCCGAAAGATGCATCAGCTAGTGCAGAACCTCCAGAGTGTGTACGGTCAGCACGGGTCTTCAGGCTGGTGGCAAATAGAGAGCCGTCCCCAATATCTGACTATGTGGCCGAACGACTCCTCGGATAAGGATTGGAGGGGTCAATGGGTCTGGGTGAGAGTTCCCGCTGATCCGGAGC